GAAAGTCATCTGGTGTTTTATTTTGGATGCCGACTGGAACCATTCTGTCCTTTTTTTTTAATATGTTTTGATATTGTCTGCTGTTTTTGGGACATTCAGTAGTTATTCCATTTATTGACTGTAGATTTGCTTGTTTTGTCCCGCTTTTTTGTTTTATTTTGTTACGTGTGAGCAGGTGGGCTGTGCGTTCTTTGTTGTTTGCTTGTCTGTGGACACAGTATTTTTCACCTCCTTGTCCAGTGGGCAGGGCCAGTTGCTCAGCTATCGTGCAGCAGGGCATGTCCAGCTGAAGGGGAGGAACTGGAATGGGTTGTTTGTGGCATGTACTGGGGCCAACAGGGTAAGCTGGTGGTCAATGCAGGGCAGGTTCCAGTAGGATGTGCCTGTGCTGCTCGGGAGTGCAATGTTCAGCACATGGTGTAGATAGGCAGGAGGGAGGGAGAAGGGGAGGGTGTGATGTGTGGAGCTAGGTTGGGTGTGGAAAAGAAGAGAGAGAAGAGAAAAACAGAAGCAAAAAGAAAAAAAAAGTGCTGACGGAGCTTGCCATTGGAGCGGAGACACAAGAAACTGAGAAATGAAGAATAACAAAACAAAACAAATGTCCCCAGGGACCCCACTGGTACAACTGTGCAGACCAGGGATGTGGCTCCCAAGCTGCACAGTACATCCTGGCTAGAAGGGGTAGAGATGATACACAGCGCCATGTATTCAGGAGACAGGAAAAAAAGGTAAGTAGAGACAGAAAAGAAATCGAGAAATGAAAGATAAAAAGGAAAAAAGAAAGAGAAAACAAACAAAAAAGCCCCAGAGATCCCACCAGCGTGGCTGTGTGGACCGGGGATGTAGTTCCCCAGCTGAGTGGTGCTTCAAGAAGGTGCCTGTCAAGAAGGATCAAAGATGGCACATGGAGTTAGGTGTTCAAGAGAAAGGAGGGGGAGGAGGTGAGAGGCAGGGAAGAAACCAAAAGAGCCCAAAAAGAAACACCAGCAACAAAGAAATGGCAGTGAAGAAGCCGGCCAGTGTGGGCAGAGCAAATCTATGCGGCACAGAACCGGCACCTCCTGTGCTGTGGTCGCGGCCTGCTGGGAAGCTGGGAATCGGTCCGCTGGGAAGCAGTGAATCAGCCCTCTGGGAATCTGGGAATCGACCCGCCAGGAAGCAGCAGAAGTTGAGCGGGGGGGGGCAGGCCGGGGGGTGGGAAAGCATGTCTCTCTGGTTACCAGGTGCTCTGTCTCCTGCTGGGAGCTGTGTGAATCTGCTTTTCCATACTACCTGTCTGCTGATCTCTGACAGGAGTCCAAGATGGTGGATCTGTGCTGCGTTAGCTGACAGGGGACCTCCGCTCGCAACTCTCCTCGCTCTCTGTTCTCTCTCTGTCAGTTTCTTACTGCATTTGGTGCTTGGTTGAGTTCTTTATCTCTCCATGTGATGCTTCGGGTTCCAGGACTGACGTCTGTCTCATTTTACTTAGTTTTTCGGGTCTTTGTTGTGGAGGGACGGTGTGGTGCTTCTATATACAGTGTCATGTTGACTCCGCCTTGAGATCGGTATTATTATTATTTTAGATATAAGGAACTTAAGATTCAGAGAATTTAAGTGATTTGTCCAGGATAAGTAGCAGTACATAGCTACTCAGAATTTGGGACTCCAAGTCCTGTGATCTTTCCATGATAATAGATGGGCTCCGTCCCAACTGGCTTCATTCCTGCCTCACACCTGTGCTCATGCTGAACCTGACTTCAAGCTACTCCCTGCTCTGTTCTATTCCATTCCATTTTTAAGGTGTAACTCATATTTCTCCTTTTAAAATATCCATCATCCCAAATCATTGGGTCACCTCTCAAACTCCTTCACTCTTGGCATCTCCATCACACCTTCTATCTTAGATTCCCCTGAATTTTCTCATTGTGAGTCAATTCAGTTTCCCTAACTAGGCCATGAGCATCTGCGAAGAGAAGGTAATATCTGAAACTTTTCTATTTCTCTCAGTGTGCCTGGTACAATTGGCACAGCACAGACACTAAACACTTGTGAAGTGAACTTAACGTCTTTTTCTCCTTTTGTTAGGAAAAGTCTTGTGTGTCTCACAGTCAAATCCAAATTAAATAAGAGGGTAAAGCTGATACTTATTCTATCACTGAAGATCACATCTCTATCAAATCACTGTGGATTTACATAGGTGTCTATATTCTGGTGTATGCCACATGAATAAACACCTGATGCAGGAACATGCGAACAGACGTAAACTTGGCTAGCTTTATGAAATATGCAAACCCACCGGCTTTGTCAGAGGTTTGGGTATAGAACCAATAGTATAGAAAGGCACATCACCTATTTACAAACGTCAAGCTGCAATTTTCTCACTTGTGAGACAGAGTTATTAATACCTGTCCTGCAGCCTCAGAGGACTGTTGTGACTCAAATGAGCACTGTGTTACGGTTCTATGAACCAAAGGAAGTAATGTAAATTTTATCATCTTGTTTCATCTCCATTTGGTAGAGAATTCCTCTAGAGCACTGGTTCTCAAAAGCCTGGTTCTAGGATTAGCAGAATCAGCATCACCTGGGAACTTGTTAGAAATACAAATTTTTAGGGACAATACTAGACCTGCTGAATCAGGAATCGTGAGGATAGGTCCCAGCAATCGGTGTTTTCATAAGCCCTTCAGGTGATTTTGATACACACTGAATTTTGAGAACCACTGCTGGATGGTTGTAAAGTAGATGTGAGGCTGTATAGAGGTGAGGGTGGTTATTATTAAGTTTTGATGAGCAACCTAAAGTTCCTGTATTTATAGAATTAGTCAGGGATGGATTATGCAATAAGCAAGGTACGCACAGGCTTAATTGTGTTTACTTACTAATCTCTAGTGCACAAGTGAAACCCATGTAAAATCGTGCACTACAGATTAGTAATTAAACACAATTAAGCATGTACATATCTTGCTTACTGATTAATCCGCCCCTGGAATTGGTGATAGAGCCTGCTGAAGGAATGGAAACTCCCAAGCTGAGATTAATCTATGAGGAATTCTGTGAGGCTCCATGACCTAACTTAACAGGAGAGCCCCCTGTTAAACCTCCCAGAACAGCAGTGGCTGATGGAAAAGCAGTACTGCACATTGCCATTACCCATTCACCTTGTGCTCCACTATGGCTTCCTGTGTTTTTTCTCAGCAGTGGAGGGCCTCACCTGAGAGAAGTCAGAAGGGAGGTATTGGAGGACAAGGGTGATGTGGTCAGTTTGTCATCACTTGTCAAGACTGCATCTCCCTGGTGCAAGGATTCATGAAATCGACGAATGTTCTGCACATGTTCTTCATGACGTGATGCCTGGCTTCTTGAGGTACCACCTCTGTCAAGAATAATGGGGGCAAAATAAATTTTCAACCAATGAGAAAACTGCTACTGTGACAATCAACAAATTACCCTCCTGAAATGTTACTGCAAATCCATTCGCACTACCACAGTTCCGGCTTCATCAATTCTTGCTTGGATTACAACTGTCTCTCAAATGATCTTGCAGTCAGTCTCACCCCCGCTTTAATCCATTCTCCACATTATAGCCTGAGTAATCTTCCTAAAACAAGAATAACAATACTTATGGAGTCCTTATTATGGAGCCCTGGTGGTGCAGTGGTTAAGCATTCGGCTGCTAACCAAAAGGTCGGCAGTTTGAATCCACTAGCCGCTCCTTGGAAACCCTGTGGGGTAGTTCTGCACTGTCCTATTGGGTCGCTATGAGTCGGAATCGGACTGGGTAGATAAAAAAGAAGCCAAAGCTGGGAAGAAGAACAAAAACGAAACCAAACCCACTGCCATGGAGTCAATTCTGACTCATAGAGACTCTACAGGACAGAACAGAACTACCCTCTATGGTGCAGTTTGAATCCACCAGCTGCTCCTTGGAGACCATAGAGGGTAGTTCTACTCTGTTCTGTAGGGTCTCTATGAATCAAAATTGACTCCATGGCAACGGGCTTGGTTTGGTTTTCCTTTTTCATTCCTTTCCAGCTTTGCTCCTTTTTTATCTACCCAGTCCGATTCCAACTCATAGCGACACTATAGGACTGAGCAGAACTACCCAACAGGGTTTCCAAGGAGCGGCTGGGGGATTCAAACTGCCGACCTTTGGGTTAGCAGCCTGAGCTCTTAAACCACTGTGCCAACAGGGCTCCATTTCTATCTACAGAATAAATGTCAAATTATATAGTGTGGCATTCAAGAACTTGACTCCAAAAAACTTTTCTTTAATAATAGCTTTATTGAGATATAATTCACTTACCATACAATTCACCTATTTAAAGGGCACAATTCAGTGGTTTTTAGTATATTCAGAGTTGTGCAAATATCACCACAATAAATTTAAAACATATTCATCACCCCATAAAGAAACCCAGTACCCATTATCAATCACTCCCTATTTCCCTCCAACCCTCCCAGCTCTAGGAAACCACTAATCTGCTTTCTGTATCTATTAAAAAACAAAACAAAACATTGCTATGGATTCTATTCTGACTCATAGTGACCCCACAGGACTGAGTAGAACCACCCCATAGTGTTTCCAAGGCTGTAATCTTTACAGAAGCAGACTGTAACATCTTTCTCCTACAGACAGGCTGGTGGGTTCTAACCACCGACCTTTTGGTTAGCAGCCAAGGGCTTAACCAATGTGCCACTGGGGCTCCTTCTGTCTCTGTATTTCCTATTCTTGACATTTCATATAGATGAAATCATATAATATGTGGTCTTTTGTGACCAGCTTCTTTTTCTTAGCATACTGTTTTCAAGGTTCATCCATGTTGCAGCATGTATAAGGACTTCGTTTTTCTTTATGGCTGAATAATATTCCTTTGTATGAATAAACCACAGTTTGTTTATCCATTTATTCATTCATCAGTTGATGGACATTTGGGTTGTTTCCACTTTTTTTGCTATTATGAGTAATGACGCTGTAAAGATTCATGTATGAGTTTTTGTGTAGACATATGTTTTCCTTTCTCTTGGGTATATAACTAGGAGTGGAATTGCTAGGTCATATGGTAACTCTACTTTTAACTTTATGAGGAACTGCCAAGACTGTTTAGCAAAGCAGTTGTATCATGTTACATTCCCACCAACAATGAGGGTTCTTTTTTATCTACAGAATAAATTTCAAATTCCTGAGCATGGCATTAAAGACTTGATCCCAGCAATTTTTCTTTTTTTGTCAGCCATAAAAAGGAATGAAATTCTGAAACATGCTACAACATGGATGAACCTTGAAAACATTACCACATTTTTACACAAATAAGATGCATGTCTTAGTTATCTAGTGCTGCTATAACAGGAGCACCACAAGTGAAGATCTGACTCTTTTAAACCTAGGAGGCCAGGACTCTACACTTTGAAGTGACTCCACCCTTTAAAACTGATGCAGTTCTGCTTCCCGTGCTCCTTCCAACAGCTCTGTTGATCTCCAAGCTGCTCCAGGGATGGTCCTTTTCTTTTCTTGGAGGACAAAAGATGTAGCTCTTTTGGTCTGTTTCCTGTCCGTAGAATTCCAAGAGGCAGACAGCGTTCTTTCCTTTTTCTCTGTCCCCTTCAGTCTAAGCTGATGAGTTTTCTCCTGTGGTAGTTGGTTAGATCCATCAGTCACAGGCTTAATCTCTTTAACAAAAGATTGTGTAGCCACATCCTTGGTGAAAATTCTAGGACATCTGTCTTTAGTTTGTACAATAGAATTTTCCACATCTTTAACTTCTGTTTTCATTTTGTACAGTTCATTTTTAAGTCTATCTCTTTCCTCTCACATTTTACTATCAGTGGCAAAGAGAAACCACGCGGCCCCTTTAAGATCTTGCTTAGAAATCTCCTCAGCCAAATATCCAAGTTCATCACTTATAAGTTCTACCTTCCACCAAACACTTGAACATAATTCAGACAAAGTTCTTTGCAACTGCATAAAAAGCATCACCCTTCCTTCACTGTCCACCCACATGTCCATCATTTCCTTTTAAAGCCTCACCAAAAGCACATTTAATGTCCACATTTGCAGCAACAGGATGTTGCTGGCGCCGTATGTATTCTCTAAGACGATAGAGAATTTCTTCACAGCTCTCCACACTTCCTTCTGAACCCTCACCAGAATTGCCTTTGTCGTCTATAATTCTACCAACAATCTTTTCGAGGTAATCTAGACTTTTACTATTAGGTACCTTAAAACTCTTCTAGCCTCTACGCATTACCCAATTCCAAAACCATTTCCGTATCTTAGGTATTTGTTAAGAGCAGCACTCCCACTTCTCGGCATCAAATTCTGTCTTACTTACCTAGTACTGCTACTACAGAAATACCACAAGTGGATGGCTGTAACAAACAAATTTATTCTCACAGTTTAGGAGGCTATAAGTCTGAATTCAGGGTGCCAGTTCTAGAGGAAGGCTTTCTCTCTCTGTTGGCTCTGGAGGAAGGTCCTTGTATCTTCTGAGCTTCTGCTCCTGGGCAATCTTCATGTAGCTTGGCCATCTTTCTTCCTCCATCTCTGCTTCTCTCGTTTGCTTGTTTAATCTCTTTTATATCTCAAAGAGATTGATTCGAGATGCACCCTACACTAATCACTAATCATGTCTCATTAACATATCAAAGACAACCCATTCCCTATTTACTAACTAGATAGTAGATAAGAATTATCTTAGATGAAAGGAAAGACAGTACTCACTACAGGGGAAGTCAGCACAACTAGACTAAACCAAAGCTAAGAAGGTTCCTGAATACAATCAAACACTTTGAGGGATAGAGTACCAGGTGTAGGGGTCTGGGGACCATGCTTTCAGCGGACATCTAGGTCAACTGGCATAACAAAGCTTATTAAGAAAATCTTCTGCAACCTATTTTGAGTGGCATCTGGGGTCTTAAAAGCTTGCAAGTGGCCATCTAAGATGCATCAATTGGTCCCAGC